CAAGGACGATTGGAGAACAAAATAGCTTTTTGTAAAAATGTGGGAAAGTTCTACTTAAATATGAGTAATGTGCTTCTTATGGAGTTTTTTCTTTGTTCTTTACTTTGATATGGTGGTCACAGGCGGGAATTTACCACACATGTGTATACCACTAAACATCAGTATACCTAATTTATGTGTAGAGATAAATTCGAATTATATTGCGTAGTAACTGATTGCATAGACATTGCACCAATCGTGCAGATAATTACACTTGCTTTTTCTTCGCCGAATCCGAAGACCGTCAGAGGTGTTGGTGGTAACATTCTCTCTTCACCAGTCATAGGGGCTCATCAGCTTATTGAGCATATACACAAGGCGTTTTCCAGACACCGCGTTATTAATGCACAATTTTCAAAAATGCCCAATTGCATATTGATTAATTATGCAATTACTCAACATAAATCCTAGTGTCAAGTTCACATTTAATTTTATTATATCAGTTCATTATCCGCGATAATATTCCGGCCACTGTAGAGTGTACACGTTAGCATGTCCTTACTAATGAATAGTAGTGCTAACTGTTAGCTTGAGTCTCCAAGCATGTAATTTTAAGTGGCCGAGACAATTGTGATATTACACAATGAATTATGTTTAATTTGATTCAGGGACTAACATATAAGGTTAGCGGCTCCGTTTATTAGGAAAATCGTATGTACGTTTTTCTCTATCATGTCTGGTGGTATGCAAGTAAAGTGCCCAATTGATTTTGTAGTAGCACCTCGCGTTATTATTGGACTTATAAAACGTTTATCATAATATCAGGTGTATAAAATCCTCTCATGGTTACGTAATACGTACGTATATCAACATGTATTCGCCAACCATAAAATAGCCAACGAACAAACAGAAAAAAACTAGAAAACAATAATGAAAGATATCTCTTATATTTTTAATTACTCTCCTTTTAAATTCATTTGAAAGCTATCAGAGTGTGGTTCTGATCACGCTGGCATCATGTTCTAGGTGATGTTTAGTGCAGATTGCCTCTCGTACAAGGAGCACAATGCAGCCTTCATCATTTGTTCCTCTGTGCACGATGCCACAACAAATACAAGCTGAAAACACAACGACCACAATGGCTGTCTGTAATACGTGAAGTGCACGCTTTTGTAGCAACGCTGTAACGTTATTGGAAACGGATTTTGAATTTTCTATATTAGAATAAATTTGTGGTTAGTTGTGGTTCCAACTTAAGAAAAACTTAATAATACAGTTGAGATTAAGAATTTATAAAAAATAAGAGTATAACAAAGCGAAATGCTTTTAAAAACGCTATGGCGATTACCGATGGCCAAAATTGGCAAAGAATTTATTAAAAGTGTTCTGACAATAGTCGGACAAGGTGCCCATTTAAGATGTGATTTACGTACCTACCTTATATGAAAGTGACATGCAAAACATTAAACGTTATAATGGTATCTTTTAAACCTTGATATCACTATCAGTTAAATCGGAACAATTTCACTAATTACAAGCACATGAAAAATGACATATTTATTTATTTATTTATTTATTTGTTCATGTACACACAGACAATACACAGAAAAAATATATACAAAACAAAACAGAGGTACATAGGTACTGCATATCCCTTATGGGATTTCTTCCTGCAGCCCTGCGAAAGGAGAAATAAATACGACATATGACACAGTGTGTAACAACAAAAAAAAAAAACAAACAAGAAGAAGACAATGAAAACTTAAACTGATAATTAAAATTAGATTAACCAAAATAATACAATAAAAACATATAAAATAAATATAAATAAGTACCTATTTATACATACAATATGTAAATAATATATAATACATAATATACATACGATATAACACAATCTGTACTTAATAGGAAAGGTGATAATGTTCCCTCACACATTTTTTAAAGATTGAAATAGACTTAGAGTCACGTATGTTAGGCGGGAGTGCATTCCACAGCCTCACCGCATGAACCGAGAAGGAATAAGAGTAGTGGTCGGTTTTATGGGATACAATTTGGAGATGTGATTTAAGATGTGATCGGGAAAGGGAATCGGGAAGACGAGCAAAGGAAAAACGTTCACGAAGGTAAGAAGGATAAGTAGGATTAAAGAGGATATTGTAGAGAAGACATAAAATGCGAGTGTTCCTGCGAAGGCGGATTGGGAGCCACTTGAGTTTTTTACGAAATTCGGAGATGTGATCATATTTTCTTAGGCCGAAGATGAAACGAATACCGATATTTTGCAATCTCTCAAGCTTATTTAATAGCTCCTCTGTGGCATCCAAATAGCAAGCGTCAGCATAATCGATCAAAGGTTGGATCAATGACTGCACGAGGAGAATCTTTGTTTTTAATGGTAAAAGAGTCTGGAGACGCTTCAGCGAGTGGAAAGAATAGTGGACTTTTCGACTGACCTCACTCACCTGGGAACCCCACGACAGGTACGAATCAATGTGCACGCCCAAATTCTTAGCAGTGTCAGTAAATGGGATCGCAGTTCCATCCAGACGCAAAGAATTAAGGGCAGAGATGTCTAGTGCATTGCGAAAGTATCTACTTCCGATAATCATGGCCTGGGATTTAAGCGGGTTAATTTGTAGGCCGAAGGACCTGGCCCACTCGGCGACCCTGTCCAAGTCACGATTCATCGCATCAATCGCAGTATTAGCCTCCGAAGGACTGAAGTGTTGGTAAAGCTGCAGATCGTCCGCGTAAAGATGGTAATTAGAAGTTATGACCCTGGAAACAGTATTGATAAAAACGGAAAAAAGAATAGGGGAAAGGACGCCACCCTGAGGCACACCAGTAGCAAGGTCACACCAATCGGAAAAGTTTTCATCCAAGCGAACCCGCTGACGGCGGCCCCGTAGGTAGGAGTCGAACCAGGATAAAGAGGAAGGAGAGAGGTTGTTGGCCTTCAGCACCCCCAAAAGGATATCAAAATCCACAGAATTGAAGGCAGAACTGAAGTCCAACAATACAAGAATTGTGAGTGATTTGTTATCCATTGCCCAGCGAATGTCATCAGTCACTTTAAGCAGAGCTGTAACAGTGCTATGACCGGGACGGAAACCAGACTGAAAGGGAGAAATAAGGTTATTAGTCGCTAAATATGAAGAAAGTTGCTTATGAACTAGATGTTCCATAACCTTTGAAAGAAAAGGGAGAATAGAGATAGGTCTATAGTGAGAAAGGGAGGAAGGATTATTGATTTTAGGCAACGGAATAATATGGGCCAACTTCCAGGAGGAGGGAAACGAGCAAGAGAATAGTGAATAGTTGAAAATGTGTGTGAGGATAGGGATTAAAAGATGGAGAATGGGGAAGAACATTCGAGAACATAGATTATCATTACCCACTGCAGAAGATTTAACAGCAAGCAATGACTTTTCTACGTCCTTTTCAGACACACAGCTGAGTTCAAAAGGAGAACAAGAAGGAAGAGATATGCATAGGAGGTGGGATAGGGTGTTAGATTTAGTTGAGCTATCAAGCAAAACTGGGGAGAGCGAGAAATGATTATTTAACGAGGCAAGATCTACACCATTGCAAACTGCAATAGGAGATTTACCGATACCCACAGATCGCAAAAATTTCCAAACATCCGCAGAGTCACGATTGACCAGGTTCTCGTCGAAATAATGCCTTCTAGCGTCCCTACACAGACGATTACAACGATTGCGTAGAACTTTATAATAAGCCAAGTTTTCGTCAGTAGGTCTACGCTTATATTTCTGTTTGGATCTGTCTCTGTGAGCCATAGCATCCTCGATAACAGAAGTGAGCCAGGGTGCTGGATTATGTTTCACTTTCACACGGCGCACCGGCGCATGCCTGTCAAATAAATCAAGCATGATTTTATTAAAAGAGTCGACCTTCGCGTTAGTATCCTCAGTATCAACCACAACTCGCCAGTCAATAAGGCCCACATCGCGCCGCAACGCCTCCAAATCCAATCGCTTATAGCTACGCAGATTCATGAATTGGGATCTCCGTTTAGGTGTCCGGATACGGTAAGATAAGTAAATAAGGTCGTGGTAAGAGAAAGAAGCAGTCATTTGGCCATGATCGTCTACATGGTTAGGGGACGACACGATCATGAGGTCGAGCCAAGACGGAGGAGAGTTGGGAGAATGGTGAGTTGCTGAAAGAGGAAGTAGGTGAAGATTAAGAGAAGTCATAAGGGATGTGAATCTGCGAGCGCGGGAATCCTGCTTCAGTAGACATGTGTTAAAATCGCCCATGATTATAACATGTTTATAATCAGGACATAGGGTATTGAGGTGAAGGTCAAGATCGTCGAAATAGTTTATGTGGAGATTAGGACTGTACAGAACGGCTACCAAGATCTTATTAAAGTTGATCGAGATCTCAACAAACATAAACTCAGCTGACTCCGAGTAGAGCGATGGGGACACTTTAATGACACGAAACGGTAGGTCGAAGCGAAGGTACATAGCAACCCCACCCCCCCCTTTGCCAGTTCTATCATTGCGCACCAACACAAAGCCCGGAATGAGGTAGTGCGCAGAGAGAAGCGAAGGCTTGAGGAAAGTCTCGGAAATCAGCAAAATGTCGAGATGAGCATTGCTAAAGGACGCCAGAAGATCAGAATAATGGCCAGGAACACTCTGCGCATTAATGTGAGCGATGTTTAGATTTTTAGGATAGAATGAGAACAGATTTGATAATTTGTCGTGTAGAGTAAGCGGATGGGATGCCCCACTGTCCGCACTAACAAAGCTAGACTCCGAAGAACATGAAAAAAAACTGTCATTAATATCAGCAAAGTTATCCATTTAAGTACAGAAATAAATAAACTTTAATATATAAAATAATAATACGATAGAATATAAAAAAAAAATAATAATAAAATTAAGGTACTGTTTAACTTGCCTATATATAAAACAACCTCCCCAACCTGCCAATATCTCATAAGATGGATCAAGCAAAGAGCAAAAAAAAAAAAAAAAATATATATATATATAGGAACTAGGAACAAATATTATTATAGGTACATGCCTTTAAAGCTAATACAACGACGACAATAATTGTATGCAGTAACTAAACGCACGACAATGACGTTGACAGTTCATTGACACGATTTGACACATCTGACATAATTCGTTGTTGACAGTAAATTGAAAAGACCAAAATCCAAAAAACTGTCAACATACCGGCTAAACAATACTATTAAACTACCGGCGAAGTGACAAAATTGAATAAAGAAATAAAAAAAAAGTCAAGTTCATACCATGACCGAGAGCAAAGTCCAATTGTATAACTATCGAAACAATATATTGAAGTACCGCCGGCAAACTGTGCTCTTAACGACGACGTGCGGGTCGCACCTTCTTCTGGACTTTAGCCTCTGGTTCAGCCGTTATGCGGGCAGGTATATTTAGGTCAGAAGCTGGCTCTGGGGTGCTACTTTTAGAGGGTGTGAGAGGAAATCTGACAATCAGTTCCTGCAGCTGCGATATGCACTCAATTTTGTGTCGCGTCTTATCAGGTGCAACAATTACAATCTTCCCCTCCACTGACCAGCAATTGGATATTCCGAAGTGGTTGCGGGCATCCATGAAAGCACGGTGACGCAACTGCGTCAGGAACTCTGAGATCGTGATACCAGTGCCTTTTAAAGACTTCTTGTTATCCCAGACAAGGTGCCGGTGCTCTGTCATATAAAAACGCACAAGGATCGGCCTCGAACCGCGGCCAGAAGAACCCAGTCTATGGCAAACATGGATGTTTCCTTTACGAAGCTCGGCCAACTTCATTTGATCATGAAATACCTTGATAACTACATCCGGCAACTGCTCATCTCTCCGCTCGGGGATACCGTGAACCAGGAGTACCTTGCGCCGCATAGCAGTCTCGTGCCTGTCGAGTCCAAGCGCCAGTAGTTCACTCTGCGACTTGAAGTTAGCCAGTGCTTGCAACATAAATTGCTTAAATTCAGTGAAGTCTTTATGTAGCAAGGCCAAATCAGGTGCAGGTGACTGTGCAGACAGTTTCTGAAGCTTTTCCTCATAGGCCGCCATCTTTGTAGTAAATAGGGCCTGCATGTGCTCGTATCTACTGTCCGTCATGTTAGTATTTAGCTTGTTTTGAAGAGGAGAGACTGGATAATAATTATTAGCAAGTAAAGGGGGGTCACTGACACAGGCACTATATTTTAATACATTAAATATCACATAAAACTATATAAAATATATTATTAAATTTCAGCTCACAAAAAAGTTGTTTACACTGTGTCTACCCACAGTTTTTTTCTTCTTCTTTGGGACAATTAAGTCACGAATGCAACGTAATTTGCAGTAACTCACTTTCCTCATACATCCATGTGTTACAGGCATTAATCTGTCAAAGTTAAACGGAATTAAACCCGACATTGGAGTTGCAGACAAAAGAACCGGTTGGTATTCGTCAACTAAATCCCAGATAGCAATTACCATTGCGTTTTAAAAGAAAAAGAAAAGATAAATGAGTATTTTTATCTCCAGGATTTTTATCTTATTCTTGCACAGAAAAATAAGGACTGCCTTATTTTCCGTGGACATTCTATGCTAAACAAAAGGCATTTTTGACGGGATGATGGATGAAGCTACTTCGTTATTGTAATAGATCAAGTGTTATCAGTCCGCTCGAAGGAATATATCGATACAAATTTTGGTTACGTACAAATTGTTCTGAAAATTGTGAATTATTTGGAATATTCACGAAACTTTTAATTAGAAGGTAAGTCTATTGTTTCTGGAAGTATTAAGCTTTATTTAAGACTGAACATTAATTATTTTAGTGAGAGCAAAATTCTGAGGCTAATCAATTCCTTGTAATTAAGTACTATAAACTTTTCATCCGACCAGAAGTTTCTTTCGTCCGTTTTGATCCAGTTATAACATTCATAAATATTCACGCCTTATCCTAGATTAAGGAGAAGTTCTAATGTTTATCCTTGAAAGGGTAGAACGACCTCGTGATACAAGGACTTTCAAAGAGTACTTTGAGGCTGTTGTAGGGGTTAATTTGAAAACATTATCTTACGGTTTTAGCCATTTATTCAGGCACCCGAGTGGCCTTAAAGAGATAAGATAAAAAATATCTACTTCACTTAAAAATGGTGCTGCGGATTTTATGAGAAATTTTGATGCAGCTCTTTTTCGCTTTTTGAATTGAAAAACTAAATGAAATGGAAAACAAGTAGAATTGTAGAATATATAAGTTCTTAAAAATATAGATTTGACTGTGTATGTCGCACGCATCACGCCAGCAAAGCTCAAAAGAGATTTTCTTAGTAGTTTACGAATTCACCAAAACTATTGGCAATAAAGCATAAATCAACTGTGACTACAACACACAGGAGATTCAAATCTAAATTGGGTCACAACCTATAGGTCGCGATTGACATTTTAGTACGCGGATATTTCCCGAAGGTAAATAAAAATGTAAAGTTGACTAGGGTAAAGCGTGGCAAAATCGCTCTCGATTCGTTCCAAATTGCACCATCGAGTCTTCTAGTATCGGAACAGGCTCTCGATCACGTACCCGCAATTTCTACCCATTGACGAGTTGTTGAGACTTGCTCGATTCGCCCGTCGATCTTGGATTCAATCAAGTGAACACGTTCCCACATGTTACAATCAATACCCAATTTCAAGCCCATTACCGAGATTTTTCAATTTTTGACTGAAATCTTTGAAGAACAGCTAAATCACAACGCCTAGGAGAGAAGCAATTAATGTTTTAATCGCTGCACGTTTTTCAGCAAAAGGTGCTTTTTATGGTTCAACTTTATAAGGGTTGTGGTGGCCACAAAATACGAAAGTAAATATTGCATAGCATCTGGGGATTAGACCCTACATTCTTTAGAAAATTAAACATTTTTAATAGTAGGCGGCACAAGTTCAGTAGCTATGAAACAAAACAACGAAGGTTTAAATGGATATGAAAATTCAAATAAATATTCCGTACACTTAAATCTTAAACAAATGTGGCTTGAGATAAAACTCATGGAGCTTGAGCTTATGAAAATGGAGCAAATAATGTCCTTTTATATCCATGGTAGTAAAACAACGCGGATTTGTTGAAATTGATATGACTTAAGCGTTGAAAAGGTAAAGACTTGGGCATTAAGCGAATGGACCACTTCAGTGTGGGTTATCCACTGCGGTGAACGTCCCGTGACAAATTGCCCATAAATAGGATAAAATGGGCGGTGAAATAATGGGGGCTATGGTTGACACAAACAAAGAAAATGGCAGGCCACAAACTGCTTCTGTCCGAGCGAAGTAATTGATGAGTTGAGTGAAGGACGACTTTTGCCTGTTATAATATAAAACTATGGTAATTTTGTAGATTAAACACCAGAAGCTGGTTTGACAATTAATTTTAATTGTTTGCATTAATATTTCTTATATACATATTTTTATAGAAATTCAATTTCATGTCCTATCGTTTTCGATTTCGAAGATTGAATTTTTCAAGAACTTCGTTGGGCCAATGCCAATATGGGCATTGGGATGGAAAATAAGAATTTCAGAAGATCGAGCTTGGTGCTAGAAAACCGAGATTCACTTAATTTTTAATGTGGCCTCGGAACCTTCAGGGTTTACCGGTTTTGACTGACCATAAAACAGATTTACTAACACCTTTAAATATTCTACAAGGTACTGGTGTGGAAATAACGAAGATTGACTAACTTGACGATTCAATGAATTCTACAATTTCAGCGTTAGTAGTGTCGTCGTAAAGGTTTTGTGCCACGGTGTTCATTTTTAATTTTCTCACCTTTTTATGAAACATATAAACAATTTATTTAACGTTTAGCTAGAGGTTATTGAAAATGGGACGAAAAAGAGTGAATTCGAATGGAATTTGTAAGTTAAGAAATCGCAGATCTCAACAAAAAATGGTGAGTATAATACAAAAACGTAATGATTTTACTTTAATAATGATAAATAAGAAACGTAAGTCATATTCGTAGAAGAAATTAATATAATTATTAGGTACTATTTGGCTCATTCCATTGGTCTCAATTCGACGGCACACAGATGGGGTGACTCGACGGAAAATATGTCGGTAATAAAGGCAATAGAAAGCAATTTATTGTTATTTTTTCAGAAGTGACAGAAAGAAATATAAGAACCAGAGAACACTTGAATACAACTGGCGTAGTTATTTATTATGAGGTTGTGGGATACCAACGTTTGGGACCTTTGCCAGAGCTCAGCATATCGGATTTAATCTACCAAGGCCACATAGTGAATTTACAAAGAAAATGTAAAAATAAAGTAAATTACGTTTGATGGAAGTACATTTGATATGGAAGACAAAAGGTTGAAAATAAAATAAAACCGCTTTACTATTTGGTCTTTGCTGGTGAAATTGTACGATTGTATAGCTTTACGGTAGAAGTACACACACATACCTACGTAATTAAATGAAGGTTGTTTCATTGTATTGAAAATGAAAATTAATGTAATAGTACGTTTAACAACTTTTCTTTATTCAAATACTAGCGACCCGCCCCGGCTTCGCACGGGTGCAATATGCATGTATTATACATACAAACCTTCCTTAAGAATCACTCTATCTATTAAAAAAAACCGCATCAAAATCCGTTGCGTAGTTTTAAAGATCTAAGCATACATACGGACATACAGCGAAAGCGACTTTGTTTTATACTATGTATTGATTTAACATAATGGCAATAGTAACATAGAAGTTGAATGTGAATGTACTTTTTAAGGATTTTTAGCAGCTAAAAGCCTTGGGTACTTAATTCGGACTGCCCTATCAGCTTACGAATGATACTAATTAACCGAAAGCCGTCTTCATAGCATACATAGTTACACTTTATGAGTCGACGCCCAGGATCCGACTTTAACGTGTATTCAGTGCAAATTTTAGCTTACATTATCTACTCTAATACAAAGGGATACGAAAATGAATACGTTTTGAGTATCCAAACGGCTATTTCTAGTGCCCTTTAGATTGTTCAAATATACTTAAGGGCTCTTAGTTCCAAAGGCCACTAAATACAAAGGTCAAGGGATTCCATTACAATCGAAAACTAATCGCGCAATTTATTCCAGACGTAGTCTCTTGATATTGCCAATGTGGAAATGTAGGAAACAAAGAAAAATACATTTTCATACAATGCTTTGAGTACTAAGAGTCCTTTAATTTTGTAAATGACGGAACTGGGTGTATGAAAGTAGGTAAAAATAATAAAGGTACTGTCAACCTTTGCACACCGCATGTTATGTCGGTTAATTAGCAAAAGTTAGAGTACCTACTAGGTAAGACTTTAAAAATAACAGCTGTGTTGGTACGTAATTAGTGACGGAAGCCGAGTACCTCTCACGTTCCTTTATGAAACAGTAATTTTTGATAGCAACTTTTTATGCTTAAGTCGATTCGTGCCTTCAAACAAACTTTATTTGCTTTTATGTAAGGTTTTAGAGTACGCCGAAGTAAGACCTAAGTGGAATATGTTTGTGGTACACAATAAATATACACGTTGTTAAAGACTTTGTTTACTGCTTCAGATTATTAAATTTGCTCCTTTAGATGGATGTAAACGTGAAAGTGTATGTGTGAATTGTGAATTCAGGATCAACTTTAAGTTTTAATGCAAAACACGATACATTAAGACTAGTTATACACGCATTTGCGTTCATACAGCACACATTGATATGTGTGGTGGAACAGAAATTGTCCACGACGAATAGGGAAAAGAAATTACTTTTTAATGAATAATGCGCAGTGCTCTATGAATGTAAGGCAGAAATACACAGAACTGAACAGAAGTCACACAAAATGGCCAGTTAAAGGTAGTTTCTCACGGCAATTCACAACAGCTGTAGGAAATAGCCTTGTGGTCAGTCCACTACGTCTCACTAGACACCATTAATTTACTGATACTACACGTACAGATACCGTATATAGCCTATACGACGAAACTTTCCGCGTTACAAGTTTCTGAGTGAGCTGTTTAAGTTCGATTGTAACTTAGTTGTTTGTTCCGATTGTGGTACATAATTGTCTATGTTAGACAGAATTCGAAATGAAACAGATGTATACTTTGGCCATGAAAAGAAAAAGTAATATAATCGTATCAATTTCTCTTTCTTGAGAACCGTATTACGGTTATCGTTTG